TACATTATGCGAATGTTTGTTACATACGTATTTCTTACATCTGATACAAAATTGCTTCAGGTTAAATAAATTATATTTAATTTACTTTTATTTATTACGTTCAAAATGGGAAAGAAGAGACTTGGAATTATTCTAATCACGAGGATCTCATCTTTGACGTCCATTTTCTGGTAGTCATCTTCCTGAACCGTGGCGCAGTGATTCACAAACTGCTACAGAAAAGTCACCGATCCTTTGTAGCTGTAATGCGGATGTTGTGCGGGAAATGTAATATCCGAGTGGAAGAAAGAGCCGGAGGTCAGAGAAGAGCACAATACCTAGGTCCCGAGGTGATTACGTTGCCAAGAATCTGTGCTGTATTTAGTCAAATGACAGTTACGCTATTTCATCGAGGTTTTGGCAGAGCCATCACAAATTTCTCGCTACTCCCTAATGCTGCACTGGCTATATTTTCCCCAATGTTCCTTTCCGTGGTCTCGCGATCTGTTGTAGGATTGGCTTCGGAGAGAAACATTCATCCCCAGCTTATGTATGTCTCTGTACTTGTAGACAGTGTCCTGCATCAAAGAGACCGTGTCACCCCTTTGAACCAGATTTGGGGATATTACCTGGCCTCATTTAACTCACCGGTTCTAATAGTTCTAATAATAATAATACAGGAGAATCGCTTTGATATAAACATTGTATAGCAGAGAGAGGCATGCAAGGCCGCTATCAAGGAAGTGCGTCCGCATGACAGAATAGAGATTTTCCGAGAGATGGATGATGTCTAGTAATTTCTTTGCAGAATGCTTAACCCTCTTCTCTATAAATTTCTCTAGATTTTCCTGTGAAGTGTGTCTCTGTATGTTCTTTCCCCCAATGACCAGAAAATCGTAAAATACCAAACGGTACATTTGCAGCTCACATATTTTTAATAATACAATTAAAAGTGCAAACAGTAATAAATGATTTTATGAAATTTTTAAAAATCAGAAACAATATCCCTTTCATACTTTCAATTTGGTGGGTTCGATTAACTCTAAATTAGTGTTTCTAGCATTAATACCGCATCGAGTCTATTATATTCGTATCAGAAATCTTTCGCAGACTGAATAATATGATACTCATCATTCGATTGCGACGCTATTTAATATGCATGGCCGCCAACACTTAAGAAACCAGTAATGGCTAAGTAGGTGTAAAGTGTACAGTAAGCACATACATTTAATCAATGAAATTTATTAGTCAATGCACGAGGAGAAAGATACACTTCACGAAGAGCAAATGTCACAGCAAGTCAAGTAGCTACATACCTAACGACAATACCACTAATCATAGATTACATTAACTCCCCTACGTGACTGCGTAAGATCTGCAGGTGCACCATTCAGAAAATCGCAACAGTACTCATCCCACGGATAATATACATATTTCAAAAGAGTATTCACTATATGAATCTAAATGTGGGTTTGTTGTGTTTGTTGTGTAACTTGATTTGTAGGATATTATTTTAACCAGCAGATCCATCAAAATGTAGGAAATTAACACACCTTTCAAATGATGTGTAGTTTATTAAGAGTTAAACATCTCATTACAAAGTATGAAATGAAATTCTTGATGAGTACAAATATCTGTGGGAAAAAAGTATTCATACAGCACCTTTTTTCAAAATAAACAAATGAAATATACGCGTATGAACAAATTAATATTTCGTACGATACCCTTTACTACCTATAATGGCTTATAATCGCTTGAGCATCGATGAAACCAAATTATTTGTTGTACTTTCATCGATTTTCCCCCATTCTTGCATTAACGTATTCTTCAAATCATTTCTGTTTGAAACTGGGTATTTTTGTACACGGCGTTTTAAATCTTCCCATATGTGTTCTATCGGATTTATATCGGGGGATTGTGGGAGTGTTTCTAAAACATGCGGTGTGTTATACAATAACCATTCTCTAATTAAATGAGATTTGTGCTTGGGATCGTTATCTTGTTGAAAATAATAACAATCTGATATATGCAATTTTTCAGAATATTCAGATAACCATATTTGTCCATTATTCCATCATTAAACTGTAAATTTCCCAAACCACCAGCACTCGTGCAGCCCCATACCATAACACTACCACCGCCGTACTTTACTGTGGGTTTTATATTTCGAATATTTAAAGCTGTTCCACTTTTTCTCCACACTAATTCCCGTCCATTCGACCCCCAAACATTAAATTTGCTTTCATCCGAAAAAATTACATGTTTCCAAAAATTTAATGGCTTATTCAAGTAGGTTTTAGCAAATTTAAGTCGTTTCTCCCGATTTACCTTGCTAATATATGGTTTTCTCCTAGCAACCCGAGCAAAATATCCAGCTTCTTTAAGCTTATTAGATAATGTTTTCGAGCAAACTTGTTTTCTAGTAGCTGCCTCCAGTTCTTTTGCAATCGTAGGAGCACTTTTGAAAGGATTTTCCTTTACTTTTCGTATTATAAGTCTTTCGTCCTTCTCACTTCATTTAGCCGGTTGTCCAATGCGATGTTAATTTTCGACTGTTTTTAATTGTTTGTATTTATTTACAATGTATTGGATGGTGGCATGACTTTTTCTCACTATTTCATCAATATTTCGAAGAGATTTTCTTTCTTCTACAGTGGTTTCTTTGCTTTTAGTACTCATTGTAACAATGTGACGTTTGACTACCACGGAAAGCAGAACACTAAATGAAGTATCATCAGAATTAAGAAACAAAAGAATGTGCAAAATGGGATTCCCCTTATTTTATTATTTTAATTCCAATTCTTTCATTTGATGGCAGCTGTATAAATACTTTTTTCCCACGGATATTTGTACTCATTAAGAATTTCGTTTCATACTTTGTAATGAGATGTTTAACTCTTAATAAACTATACATCATTTGAAAGCTGCGTTAATTTCCTACATTTTGATGTATCTACTGGTTAAAATAACATCCTACAAATCAAATTACCACTGTTCAAACTAGAGCGTATAATGGTGTATGAATACTTTTTTCGGTCACTCTACATCGTGGTAATTATAGACATACATACATCAAAACATACTTGTATAGGCTTCAGTTGTTTGTAGAACGTTGTGTCAGTGTCAAATGTCTGCGAAATTTTTCACAATTTTTACATGCCATTAAATAGAGAACATGGGAGAAAAACTAGTAATTCGAATTTATCCTATGATTACCTTTCTAGTCGAGCTAGATGGTTGAAAATTGGCGTACAATGTTTTCTATAGGTAAGCTATCAAAGGAAAAATCGGTTTAAGGGCACTTTTGTCCCATTATCCTGCTATACCCTTTATGTTTCTTATTAAGTATAATGAACGTCGTTTGTAATCGTATTGTCTGTAAATACCTAAAAATATGCAAAGTGTGATTGTTCTAATGATTCATAAGAAGTTATATAAATAACTGATATAATTTTATACAAATGTCTTTTCATATTAAAAATATAAACGATACTTGTTACAGGAATGATTGTTTTATTGCGCACAGTTGTTATTAAACGTGTAAAAAAATGTACATACAAAAGCGAACCATTAATTTTGGTTTAAATCACAAATGTGTAAGTGCTCCGCGTTGTCCACGAGATAAGCCTTGAACGGAACGCGTGTCTTATTCGTCAGCTTTCATCTTTCCGTATCTAATTTTTTATACTAATTAGATATTCGTTAATATGGTTACACGTAAACACAGCAAGAGACCTCTCTTGACCCTGTCTCGTTCCGAGGTTCTTTTTGTGAACAACGCAAAGTACATTCGGTGAAACATAAAATCAAGTCCTGCTAATAGGTTCAAATATTATACTGATAAGTAAAGAATGCAAAGGAACAGAAAAATTCCTTATCATCAAGAGCGTTAAGAAAGTTTTTAAATGCGTAAGTCAAATAAACTGATTAAGAGGCGACGATGGAATTGATTTGAAATGTCCAGTTTTACCAGTAGTCTCATTCCCTCGTCTTTTCACTGAAGTTAAAAGATAATTCTCAAGATACTTAACGAATGGCTCCACCATTCTTGGGTACCTCTCAAATGACGCTACATGCAATACCTTTTGTAAGCGAAAACCGCAGAAATTGCTTCTTACTCAGAGGTGCTTTCACCTAGGGACTATATAGTGATTAAGGAGGATCAGCCCTGGATCGTTGCTGAATCGAGGCCCTTCAATACCCAAAAGCACTTCTTTATGGCACTCTCCTCTTTTTACACTCAAATCTCCAGATTTGTTGCATCGGCAGCGCATGAGATGGATTTTTTCGAGTGAGTTTAAAACTTTAAAGGTTTACAGTACTGATTTAGATAAATAAAAAGGTCTTAATTGGCATATGTCAAGTAATCAAACACTTCCATTGAAAAATAATTTCTATTCATTTATGATATTAAACAATATAAATAAATAACTATATTTGGGAATATAATTAATTAAAAATTAATTAATAATTAAAGTAAAAATATAGACACATATTTGATGCGCAATTTTTATGTTCAACAAAATCGTGGTATTATCTTAATTTTAAGCCTCTAACTAATTTCAGGACAACTAATAATTACTAAATCACAATATCTCAGAACATTTACAAGTCTTACAGAGTACTGTTTAGAATGCTGCGATAAGCTTGTCTCACACTTCATTTGATTCGATTTTACTCGATATTCAAGTTATCAGATATCCTCAAATAATTTCGGAAGCGAATAATTTCATTGTTAGCAAGCTTATTCATTTACTTGAACACGTGGAACAATAATGAACATTGATATAAGGTCAAAATCGAATTTAGATTTATTCACATTTCGTTTTTCAACAGCCGTGTAACGGCTGAGTACCAATCGCATATGTTATCACATACGTACACCCGTTGACAAAATACAATGTGCTTACTGGTACTGACAATTTTTCACAAATATCTCTTGTTATATATAAAATTCTGTATATTTGTGTTATAAGAAAGAGAGGATTTCCTCTTTTTATACATAGAATTATAATACTTACTTCACATTTATGGTGATATTATGTTGTGTCTTATGGGTATGTGCGTTCTGTGGCCCGCCATTAAAGTATAGAGTAGAGTGAAACACGTTAGACCCGAAAGATGTCAGCATGAGCGTATTTCGTCAGACAATTTTCTTTTTTGTATCGTTATAAATGTATTACTATTAAGTTTAGTTCGTAGTTGTACAGTAAATAAAATGGATCTATAAATATTCTACACCCATATCTACCATATCTTGCCCGATCCCTTTCAACGGTTATGAGCACAACGACGCAAGTGACTAATATAACCTAAAATCTGCCACGTGGTTTCAAGTACCAAATTTTTTTTCTTTCGACGAGTACGATAGCAAGTAGAATAGAAACAGAAATAAAAAAACGGGTGACAATTCAAAAATAGGCGTGCAAATTGCAAAGTTATCAGATTATTACTACAGTTCTGAGTAACGTCACTATAAATAACAAAGATACGATAGAGCTAAGGAGATTACAGAAATTCTGTGACGTTAGGGCGGTGCAGCAATAAGCGTGCATATTGAAGTAAACCAGCAAGTCCATGTAGAAACTGCATCGCCGGATTCAAAGTATGGCTAGCGTTAGAGCATGTCCGTCAATCCAAATCAAGAGTAAGGATTATGCAATTGAACAAATAGGTTATCAAGCAAAAATAAAGAATGAAGAATTTATATTGGCGTACATATCGAATAGAAGAGTGTAGTGGTTTTGTTGCTACCAACTTCCTCTTTTTTATTTTTCCATTTTCGAAGTACCCATGACCCTGGCAAGCCTGGCAACGTACATCTTACATATCGGCTAATGAGGCTCCGGCTGACTAGAACTTTTTTGGACAAAAAGAGAAAGTTGGGATTTTTGACTTTTTTCCCGCACGTCTGGCCGCGTTTATTTGCCGCGCGATTTTTCTAGAAGAATTTCGTTTAAAAAACCTTCAGCAATCGCGCAAAGAGTCAGTTGGTTTTTACCCTGCTAACTACTTTTCGCGTTTACGTTAGTCTATTTTGTGATATACTAAAAATCTAGGCGAAATTAATAACTATACCCCCAACCACCGCAAGAGGTTTGGCTAACAATCTAAGTGAAGCTGGTGCCGAGACTCGGAATGAAGATCTAACGAAATTAAATATATCACTAGCAGGGTTACCAGACAAATAAATTTACATGGACTGAAACAAGCAGAGTATTATTACCCAAGCTTGAAAGACCCAGGAATATGGAAGAGTGTGTGAACCACAAAGGGGCCATTACATTCAAGAGGTCCCAAACAAGTACCACCAAAATAAACAACAGCGTTCAATAGGACAAAGACAACATGCTGCTCGCATTGCAAAAAACAAAGGCATAATTCAAAGAATTGCTGGCAGAAGATGGTCAGTTTAAATCAGAAATCATACATAGAATCAATAATACGAAATTATAATATGCGTGAATGCAGAATACAACAACATCGTTGGAGACAGAGTTGAAATTATTTAAAGACAGAAAATCAGACTTGTTAAATGAAGATAGGAAAACTTCATACCGAGAACTTATCGATTCATACAGAAAATCGATTACTAGATTTTTTCGTCAATAGGAACCAAGACATCTATGAGAGAGGCATTATGAAGCTACCTTTAAAATGACAACAAATTATAGAACAAAACGGTGCATATTTGACCCAAATCGAACAATCCGAAACATGTTAAATAAAGTCTCGAAGTTCACGTAAAAATAATGGATTTCTTTTTCCCCGACCCAATATTTCACTGAATTAATTCTGCTGAAAAAATTATGTATAAAAACACAGTGTCCCATATTTACATGATTACTTTCTTCTTAAAACTAATTTCACTACAACGTGATATCCTAGGGCATGCCTTTTTGATTCATTATTCTTGTTAATAGTTTTTTCCTTTCCATTGCAAAATCAATAAAAGTTTAAACAATATTTCAATGATTTGTCGTATAGCATTCAAAATTTAGATAGCACGCCAATGATATTTCTTATTTAGCAGATATTGAGTGACACTGAAATAACAAAACGCCCTTACTGATAACCTGTTGATGGAAAATTCTTCATGTGTCGTATAACATAATTTAAATATATTATTTAATCAAATTTATCGCGTGGGTCATATTTTTCGAGGTTAAACGGAAAACATAAATTGTCATTTACCCATGTAGCTAATAAAAACATTTTAAGATAATCAGAATTTCATGCAAACATTTTCTGAAATCATAGTATGTTTTGCGAATTGTTTGTTCAATACGAATGAAATGATAAGTCGTTTGGTAATACCCACTTCCAGTATTACTAATGTTGCTACCAATGTTGTCTTCATCTAACCGATTTCTATGTCTGTATTCCTGATGGCTGTCTCCCTGTAGACGATTTCATTAACTGTTTTGCGTATTTATTGGTTTCCTCGAACAAACAATGACCATAGGAAAAGATCAAAGAATATTTCTATGTTTTCGATAGATTCACTATCTTGAGAGAAACACAACGCGATCCAAATTTTGCCAAGTAATTAGGTTATACTTAAATCACATTGGATATGTATTTTTTCAGGAACTATATTACATTAGATGTCAAATCACTTGATTTTAAAGAATTAACAAAAGAAAAAGGAGGGATTTTCGAATCCTCACTATCAGGCACGATAAAAATATCTAATACTGTAGGAAGTTAGACGTTCTTGGTGATTGGTAATTGCACGAAACTCAAAGTAAATAACAAAATAATAACAAAAACAGTTTATTAATAAAAAGCTATAACAAGGACTACACAAAATACTATTGCTACGCTAAACACACAACAGGTCGCTCGCTAATCGCACCAAAAAATCACGCGTCCACGCATTCTCACTTGCTTTTAAAGCACACCCCATTCGCTCTTTTTTTCTTACATTCACAACCTTCTCGCTCGCACTGTAATCTTTCGTCCATAGTCAAAATTCGCGCGGTCGCGACCACCCCCAGGCACGTTCGACCATCCATACTGTTGAGAGTGAGCATGAAATATATTTTTAATGGCTACAAAGTATCCGTTGGTACAGTCCACTCCCTCGCAGGAGTCAGTTGATTTTCCTGAGAAGGACAGCCATTTTTGAGACATGTAGTATTTCATACGCTGTAACTTTTGTTTGACACGTTTGTTCGTATCTTTCATATTTTTTAAGATGATTCGGTGTTTTGGATCGGTCTCCATACATTATTTTTAGTGTTGCAACAAAATCTATTTTTATCTCGGAAACTATTGAGTTTTGAACCCATGTTCACTGAGGTTTTTTTACTCAGTTTGGTGAGTTATATACGCCCCATTATTTGTGCGCAATAATTTTGTTACACCCTGTGTGTGTGACGCTGTTAATCACTTTTGCTATGGTAATATTAACACATGCGTGCCGGCTAATTTTCAGAAAACTGAGTTACGTGGCTGACAGTTCTCAATGAGATTAACTTACATCGCTAAACGTAGAAAAATATAATATCTTATTGTTATGTAACATATTTTAAACAAATAATTGATTCCGATAAGATTTTACATTTTTATAATCATGCGGTAATTAGCGAAGCTTCATAAGTAGGTATTTGTATAAAAACATTTCCCATTCTTGGTACGCAATGTGTCAACATATATTTAACGTATGGTATACTCTATTCCCGTCCTGGCTGCATCGAAATATCATATGTATGAAACATATATGTAAAATGCTGTGTTTGATTTGTTTACTATATTCTAAATGCGCAAAAATCATTTGAATAACTTATCACGTAAAACAATTGCAAGAAAGGCACGGTCCACAGCGAGGAAGATAAAAATACAAAAAGAAAAATAGAAATTATATAATTGAAACCGTGAAAGATGAAATAATCAATACTGATAAAATGAAAGCTTTAAATAGCGGTTTCTACTTCAATTTGAACTTTTTCTCGTGTTTGAACAGGTTGCGGGAATCAGAGTTTACCTCTAAAATAGAAAATATGGCAGGAGTGACTCCCCAAGGATACGATGAAACCAGCAAATCTCTTTTGAAGTACATACGGCTCTTCCCCAGCTGTTATCTCTTCGTGACTACAATAAATCGAATCTATATTGACCACGTGCAGCAATACTTTCTCATTCCGTTTTATCGGATTTTAACGTATTTCATTGTGTATTTATAGAATATACAAAGCGACAACTAAATATAAAACAAAACCTACACAATAACATTGTCTACTTAACATTGTACCAAAGTACTTATATACATGTAACATACATTCTATATTAGACATGCATACTACATTATGTATGTAACGTACAAAATATTCTTATGAAAAAATATTAGAATTGAAAATATTAGTTATAAGTGAAAAATATCATATACATTATAAAATAATAAAATAAAGTTTTGTATGGGTCAATCACGACACATCACAGGGCTTCGCGAGAACGTTGAACCGATGCGTAGGTACTCCGATGGTTAAGTTGACAATGAATACAATCATAATATGAGTTCATGCCATATTGGTAGCTTGAGATGCGGGTTAATAAAATAGTTACCATGAACTATCGTTGATCAAGAAAAGATAACTGGAACTCTTCCACATATATGAATACATCATTAATTACAGTCTGGAGTGTAAATTATACGATGTGGAATAGTTGCCACCACACTAAAAATGTTGATTATATTAAACTTAAGGAGAAAAACTGGTACCACTTATTTTTTCGTACCCGTAATATTTCAAACTGTTAGCATGTTTATGTGTATATTTAATCATTAAATTATAATAATAAACCCGTACATGAACTATTCGATGTACAAATTACAAATGAATATCTTAAATACAGTAATGCTCGCTTAAATTCCACAATTTCTTTCAGATGCTCCAAGGTCTGCAGATTGCTCGTATAAACGTTTGGCTTTAAATATATTTCTACAAATAAAAATTTGTAATGGTTAAAGCTGGTGGTCAGAGTGTCCAAACGATATCGTCGAGATGTATAATTAATCGCAGTATCGTGTACTTAACAATTTTAACGTTTTATCGTGAACTTAACATGTTCCTCT